CCAATATGCAATAAAATTCTATATTAAGTTTAAGATTAATCATGATTAATTCACAGCTACCTTGGAATTAATAGATAGAAAATTTTAATCATTTGACAGCCCTATAAAATACATAAACTTTAACATAAACAAAATACTTTTAATTTGTGTAAAAAAACAAAAGAACAGATATTTTCATACACACAGCATCTCTCTCAAACACGTCATTAACTTTCATTGTGAAAACTCAGAACTGGAATAAAGTAACAACTGTTTTATACAGATTTTAACTCTCAAACAGGTTTTTGTAGGTTTTGGATCCAACATTTTTTTCTGAAGAAAGCTGTCAGATCCTGTAGGTATGGAGCAGTGGTCCTACGTTCTGGTCCTGGAGGAACAGGACCTGCTGAAGAACAGGGAAAAGACTAAACCTGCAGGATCATATCCCTCCAGGACCAGGATTCAGGACGTTCTCATTTGTTTGTGTCACAAACACAAAATAAATGTTCAGATTTAGTTAAAAAGAAGTCTGCTGAAAAACGAGTCCAACTACCAGACATCAAGTCATTTAACAGTAGAAGTGAATAATACTGATATAAAATGTATTTATAGCACTGCTATAACCTCTGTTGGTTAGGCAGACAGTTCTTCACAGTAAGTAGTCATGGCCCGTGGTCAACACAGAACCTAAGTGCAGCACTGTGCTGCTGTCCCTCTCAGAGTCCCCGCCTCCTTCCTGAGGTCCACCCTGACCTGGTTCATCTGAATGTCCTGGCTCAGGTTTCTCTTCTTCTGTGTCTGAGAACTGCTGCTTGGAAATAAAGTCTGAGAGGAACAGAGTCTGGACGTGAGTGAGGAACTGCTCTCCCTCCCCAGCTGGAAGAGGCTCCAGGTGAGCGGCCAGAGAAAGCAGCATCTGCACAGAGGAGATCAGCTGGAGCACATAAAGCTGTCAGACGTGTTTAAACTGAAACACAGTGAGGGGTGAACGTTTGGGCAGCCTTGTTAACTGTCCTGATTTACCTTTATAAATTATTGATCGTTTGGACCAAAAATATCAGTTAAATATATCATATAGGGGACAAACACAGTGATATTTGAGAAGTGAAATGAAGTTTATGATTTACAGAAAGTGGGCAATAATTGGTTAAATTAATTAGGCAGGTGCTGGAATAACCAGAAGTGAAGGATGTTGAGAAGAGTCAGTCAACCCACAGACCAACACCAAAGAAACATCATCTTGCTGCTGATGGAGTCACTAGCTGCGTTTCCATTGCAAATGTGCGCAAAACGTTTTCGATATTCTGTTAATGTCAAAAAACACAGTTTTGCAACTGCGGTGTTTCCATTAAAGRAGATCAATTATGGGTCCTATAAATGTTTATGGTATGTCTGTGGGCTATCCAGACTATGTTCATTCAATTTAATGCACAAAATAATTCTCAGATAATAAAATTTCCCATTTTCTAGTTCTGCCTGCTCTGACTTCTGTTCAGAAGAGCTGTTTATGTTAATGAGCTCTGTTGGTAACGCCCTCCAAAAATCTGTTGACATTAAGCCAGTGTTTACGTTAGCATGGCTAATAATAGTAGAAGCTCCGTTGTACAAC